ACAGTTTCCGACATCCTTACTATGCGGGTTGACTCCAGCACGCGGGGGGGGGGGCCCCACGGAGGTCAGCCTCGCCGCGTTGGCGCACCGCGCCGGGAGAGGCGGCCCTGTGCGCGCGGCGGCTGTCCGCGACGGGGGTCGAGTCGGGCCTGTCGGCGAGCTTCTGGCGCACGCCTCGCTCCTCCCTCGCTCCTCCTCCTCCTCCTCCTCCTCCTCCTCCTCCTCCTCCTCCTCCTGCCTTGCTCCTCCCTCGCTCCTCCCTCGCTCCTCCTCCTGCCTCGCTCCTCCCTCGCTCCTCCTCCTCCTCCTCCTGCACATCCTCCCTTTCTTGCTCCTCTTCCTCTTCCACCTCCTCCTCCTCCTCCTCCTCCTCCTCCTCCTCCTCCTCCTCATCCTCCTCCTCCTCCTCCTCCTCCTCCTCCTCCTCCTCCTCTTCCACCTCCTTCCCGTGCCAATGCTGTTCGGTACTCTTCTGGGGGAGTCGGCTGGGGAAACACGGGGCGCCACTGAGGGTGTGGGATGCCACACCCGAAAAGCACCTCAGCCGAGCCCCCAGTGGAGTGAGCAGCGGGACAACAGTGGCAAGGGGCCAGCAGGTGTGCTGGCCTCCAGGACACTGCCAGGCGGCAATGCCGGCGGTCCTACTTTCATTCCACACCTGCACACTTGAGGCACCGACCTCCAGGACACAGCCTGGCGGCAACGCTGGCGGTCCCGTTTGCCCTCCACACGTGCGCGCAAGAGGCACCCACATTCAAGTCGCAACCTGGTGACTAGGCAGACGGGCCTGAACATATAATGACCCTGTGGTCGAGGCATCGACCTCCAGGACACAGACCGGCGGCAAGGCCAGCGGTCCTGCGCATTTTCTCAATACTCGCACATTAAGAGGTACTGACCAGACGCAGCCCGGCGGAGATGCCAGCGGTCCTGCCTCCACTTTCCCAGAAGAGTTACAGCCCCACTGCACCGCCACTGTGGCTCCATGAGGCATCCTGGGGAGGTGCGAACTGGGCTGTCTACTCCTGTCGATGAACAGGCGCTGGCATCCGTGTACCAGCTCACCCCTGGCCTGCTTAGGTGGCCCCGAGTCGGTGAACGTGAGGCGGGAGGTCTCGTCGAAACGCAAATTCGTGCAATGTCGTTCGCCTTGCATTGTGCTGCGATTTATTTTCTCCGAGCTGACGACGAAGAGATCCGTGTCCACCAAGGCGGGAACTCGACTGGTTGTTCGGATCCAGCGTCACCTTACCTGCTCACATGGCGCCCAACCCGGGGCAATGACTGTCACGGATGACCGTCCCGCCCCGCCCTCCCTCGCGTCGGATGGGTGGCCCCATCCCTGCCCCCTGCCTGGGGGGAGGAGGGGGGGAGATGGAGGGGATGCGAAGGGATGGGAGGGGGGGCGGAGGAGGGGAGGAGAGGAGGAGAGGTCAGGGAGGAAACGGGGGCCAGGAGGGAGGCAGGGGGGGAAGGATGGAGCAATTCACCTGCACCTCGGACTGCTCGACTGTCAGCACGCCGTGGCCATCTCCCGCTCGCCGGGCACCGCTCTGCCCAACGACGGTGAGCTCGACAACTATGACGGGATCGGCAGTACCTGAGCCAGCTGGCAGCGGCAGATTCAAGCCAGCTTTCTCGCGGATGGAATCCTCGAACGCTTTCTTCACCTTTTGAGCACGAGGGAAGCGGGTACTGAGGGAAACGTGTGCTGGGTCCCGGGGATTCTGCCAAGGACCAGCTTTTCATTCGGAGTTGTTTTTTGACGGCCCCAGGGCTGAGGGAGGGCCCCTGGAGCCCGAACACGGCCAAAACCATGCAGGACCTCTTTCCAGGTTCCTCAGAGCCCCTTTCCTTTACAGCGAACCTTGCCGTCTCCGACGAACGCATCTGCGTCGGACCTCCGGACTTTCAGCTTGTACTTTCCCTCGATGACCCACCACCACGGCACCGCTGGGTATCCGCACGGCGGATTCATCGGCGTGCAGCTGGCGGGAGTCCCGGCAGGAATGCACATACCGATACTGGTGTTCGTCATCCCGAGCTGGTTGCACCAGAAGCACCCTGGCACGGCGGCGCAAGCAGCGCAGAGAGGGGAGCCAGTCACGCCTGAGCAGATGTCGGCCGTTGGGGTTGGCGAGGGCGTTGGTGAGGGCGAAGGCGAGGGCGTTGGCGAGGGCGTCGGTGAGGGCGTTGGTCCAGGCGAGGGTGAGGGCGTTGGTGAGCCCGTAGGCGAGGGCGTCGGCGAGGGCGTAGGCGAGGGTGTCGGCGAGGGCGTGGGCCCGGGCGAGGGCGACGGCGTGGGCGAGGGCGTGGGCGAGAGCGTTGGTGCGGGCGAGGGCGAGGGCGTCGGCGAGGGCGTAGGCGCACCTGTCGGCGATGGCGTAGGCAAGGGCGTCGGCGAAGGCGTCGGCGAGGGCGTCGGCGATGGCGAGGGCGACAGCGTCGGCGAGAGCGTTGGTGCGGGCGAGGGCGAGGGCGTAGGCGAGGGCGTAGGCGA